CAGCACTGACTTCAGTGTAAAAGTGGAGCAGGAGTGGGGAGAGAGGAAGGATGCACATGCCTTTTGCTGAAGTAATCTGGGCCCAAGAAATGGGGGACCTGGGCTCTGCTCGCAATGCTTTTGATGCATGTTATTCAATGACTATATAATGCAAAATGCATAAATATCTTTGTGAGCAGGGGCCAGAACCCCTGGCTCCCTCCTTCCCTTTCATGGGGTGCCCTCCAGTAGTAGTGTGACCACAGTGCTGTTGGGCAACATGGGTGTAAGTCCTCCTCTTCTAGTTCTTGGCATCGGCACTGAGCTGCATGCATGAACGCGGCTTCAAATAGTCTTTCGCTGTGGTTATTCCCCTGCTAAGGAACTGGGATTTACAGAGACCTTGTGTTTCCCAGATGGAATGAATCATGGCAGAGCTTAGATGCAGTTTGAGGTCTGGTTTGCCTTTGAGCATGTGTAGTAACCAAACTCTAGGTACCTGGGCATCTTTTCATGGTTAAATAGAGGCAGTCCAGCAGCTGCTGTATTGACTAGAATAAGACCACACTTACTGATTTAGATGTCTAAAAGCCTCAAAAGAACTGCTTAGACATCTTAGGGACAGAATAGGATCTGGGCCTATGCTCTAAGCAAAATTAGTTTTGTTCACACTGAAGCTACTGAACCATAGTAATCTGAAGAAAATTAGAAATTTACTAAGGAGTAAAGTAATTTTCTACTGCATTGCATATAATTCAAGCCAAGCTTTTGTGCATGCAAAAGCATGGATAGGGAGTGTGAATGTTGGTTGAGCAGAAAATGTCAGGACTGTTTCATAAATTGTAATTTCATGCTGGTTTGGTAACTTGGTATGCAGAGAATTAGGTTATGGTCTGATTCTTAGAGCTGCCATGATGAGTAGGTGGTTTTAACTTGACAGATAAGAGGCTTTTAAAATTATTGTCCCTTGAAAGATAAATTGCCATCCACAGATATTTTATAACAGCAGGTAATATAGACAGTTCCCTGGCACTACCTGTGTGTCTCTGTTCCACTGAGAGTTATGCTGCTTTCTGCAGCCAAGGCATTCTCTTCCCAGGCCAAAATCTGTTTGACCTACCACCTGTGAAGAAACACAGGCCTGCATAAAGAAGCAATCCTCATCAGTCGTAGACTGGGAGGGACTACATGAGGTCATCTAGTCCAGTGCTCTGCTTAACGCAGGATTGTCCCTGATTAAACCATCCCAGTCAAATACCCGTCTAACCTGCTCTTGAAAATTTACAACGATGGAAATTCCACAACTTTTTCTCTAGGTCGCCTGCTCCAGTGCTTGACCACCGTCATAGTTAGGTTGGAGATTAGGAGAAACTTTCTAAATTTCCTCTGCTTCTGCTTGAGCCATTGGTCGTAGTCCTGTCCCTTTGTGGCTACAGAAAAGTCTTTCTCCATCCTCTCTTTGATTACCCTTTTTTGTATTTGAAGATTAATGTTACAGTCTTCCCCCCTAGTCTTCTTTTCTCCAGACTAAATAACCCTAGCTCTTTCAGCCTGTCTTTGTATATCATGCTTCCTAGGGCCCTAATTCATTTTTGCTGCTTTCCAATCTGTCCACATCCTTCTTAAGGGTGGGGGGCAAACTGCACACAGCACTGCAGTGAGCCCTCATCAGTACTGAATAGAGGAAGCATCACTTTGCTTGACTTGCAAGTGACACTCCTGTTGATACAACCCAGTATGCTGTAGGCTTTCTTTTTCCCAACAAAAACACACTGGCTTATAGTCAGCTTATGGACCAATAGTGTCAGTGAAGTTTCTTTAAATTCTCGTTGATAGAAGGAACAATTCTGCTCCCATTCCTGTCTTTGAAAAAGATTGACAGAAGGTTTCTTTATATTTTAGTAACATCTCTGATGACCATATGAAGACGGTAGGGGTGCACCAATAGAGATTTTTGGGGGCTGATACCATAGCTGATATTTAAGGAGGCATATTGGATGATACCGATTCAAAACAGCTACCTCCAGGTGGTAAGTCTGTTGTGGTGGAAAGGAAGGGGCATGTGGGGGCAGATTAATGCTCCCGCGGTGCGGGAGGGAAGGGGCAGGGACAGGCACTGCCCAGGTTGGACAGGGGCACAGGAGGAAGGCACCACTCCTGGGGGAAGGGGACAGTTCCCACTGCTGCTTGCACCCCTGGGGGGGGAGGGGTGTGCCCCTGGATGTGCGCGGGTGTGTGGGCTAGAACTGGCATTGCATGACTCTTCTCAGTGGGAGCTGGGCTTGGAGTGGACACCAGTGGCGCTGGGAGGGAGCTGCAGCCACCCCAGATTTGGCCACCGCTCTACTCCCAGCCCCACACTGCCAGGTGCAGCCTGGCTCCCTGTCCCTCCACCCACACGCTGCAGCCCCCACCCAGTGCCACCGGTGCCTACTCCAAGGCTCTTCTGGCAGGGGTGGGCTCGGAGCGGATGCTGGGAGGGGGCTACAGCCACCCCAAGTTTCGCTGCCACTCACCAGCTGCCTGGCGCAGCCTCGGCTCTTCCCAGCATGTGGGCGGAGGCAGGATATGGAGCCAGGCTGCACCTGGCGGCACGGGGCTGGGAGCAGAACAGTGGTGAAATTTGGGATGGCTGCAGCCCCTCCCAGCACTGCCAGTGCCCGCTCTGAGCCCAGCCCTCCCTCACTGAGAAGAGCCCCATGTAGCGCTGGCTCCAGACCAACCGCCAGCCCCAGGCACCCCCCTCGCTCTCCCAGGGTGCAAGCAGCGGCAGGAGCCACCCCCCGCCATGAGCCACACCTCCATCCTCTGTCCCTGTCCCCCTGGGCAGCACCTGCCTCTGCTCCCTACCTCACCGCAGGGGGCATTAATGTGCCCCCCACATCCCTTCCTTCCCCACTGCCCTTCTGATTTATTTTTACCAGCTGGAGGCAGCCCTTCACGCTGCTGGCTCTGCTCCGTGCTGCTCTGGCTACGCACAGCACGGGCATTTATTGGCCCCATTGGGCCGATATCTGATACAGCAAACTTTTTTTTATATCGGTACCAATCCAATATTAGACCGATGTATTGGTGCATCTCTAGTGATGCTCTATCCAGTCTTCTTTAGACAGAGGAAGAAAAGAATTGCAAGAAGTCTCAGAAGGAAAAATATATACCTTAGCAAGGGGCAGAGCTGTGTGAATAATTGATATTTTATTTTTCGGGGGGGGCGTTATTTTCTGGCCAACTTGAAAAGAGTGAATACATAAATAAAATAATATTTCATGAAACAAAACACTGTCCTTTTGAACTTAAAAAAAAAAAAACTTTGTTAAAACTAATATGAAAATGAAACATTTCATTTCAAAACCTTTTGTTTTTTTCACTCTTCTGGAAATTTTTTTAGCCTGTCTAACAAAACAGTTTACTGAAATTGACTGGATTCTAAAAATGGTGCCCCAAATCTGTGTTTCTTTCAGTGACGAGCGGGAGAGGAGAGTTTAAGCCCACTATCGCTCTTTAGATGAGTCTTTGGGGTTGGGAAGGAAGAAATCTGATCAAGATGCCAATATGTTATGCTTGCTAAGAAAACATTTTTGGTTGTTGTTGATCAGGGGTTGCTGTTCTTCAGAAGAGTATGCGATTATATGCACCATTTTACTCTTCTGATATCATCATTGCCTCTCCCCTTGGTCTGAGAACAGTTATTGGAGCAGAGGGAGAGAAGAAGAGGGATTTTGACTTTCTCTCATCGATAGAAATTCTCATAATTGATCAAGCAGATATTTACCTGATGCAGAATTGGGAGCACATTCTGGTAAGTTTTTTTTAAATATTGCTCTTGCTTTTTTGGCATATTGTGCCACATACAATGAACTGTGTCCAAACTCTTTCTCTGTCTCATGCCTAAGAATTTTTTTATCTCCTAAGAATAACCTCTTCAGAGTTTTCAGTACTACCTAGTCCTGTTGCTCTCTAAATCTCAGTGCTTTTCATTTTCATAACCCATTTCATCTGAAGTTTTCTGAGGACTCTTGCAACAGAGTTGACTCCTCTGGAAAGGAACAGATTCTTTTCCTCACCTCTGGGAGGGAGTATCAGTCATACAACCGCTTACAGCAATACTGCACATTAGTTGAAGGAATTATGATTGTATCTGTTTGCAACCATTATGAACTTAGCAAGGAAACTTCCTTCTCTCTGACAGAAGTTAGGTGGCATGGGTTAATTCGGCAAACATAGGGATATTAATATAGCCCATCAAGAGGTAAGTTACCATGTAAAACATTTTAGGGGTCTCTTCAGAGTTAAGAATATGCATTGTTGACAGTGTTTGGAAAGAAGCAAACAAAAGGCTTCTGTGTGACTGCTGATTTGAAACACTCTACTAAAGTGTGTCTCTGTAATTTAATGAGATTGTCAGCTCAAGAGTGTCAACGTCAAATAATATCAAAATGGAAACTATCAAAAATATTTTCCATGGGCACAATCCTTTGACGGTTCTGGCTAAGACATTGCACAGAGGGGGTGGCACCAGACCTAAGACCACTTGAGTGCTCTCACTGAATGCAGTGGGTGTTCCATTTGGGCTTTCTTGATTTCAGCAAAGAATTTCTGGAAAAGACCCCAACTTTTGAAAAGAGGAATTTACTATTATCACATGATTCTAGCTCTTGAATTGTTCCCATTATGAGACTGCAGCTTCTTAAGTCCAAGAAACTAATGACTTTTGATTAAATCCTGTAGGGGAAAAGATGCCAGTAAACTACTGTTCACTTGATGACTAAGCAGAAAGCCATTTCTTGGGAGGCATGGATATATTACGTTGTAGACAGATTCATTCACCTCTGCTCACTTTATAGTGCAGTTAACTTACTTACAGCCTATATGTTCAAGGTGTAAAATTTATGTGCCTGTTTTCTTTCCATTTTTAAAAGCACCTGATGAACCATCTTAACCTCCTGCCTCTGAATTCCCATGGTGTAGACTTCTCACGAGTGCGCATGCTGAATCTCAATAACTGGTCCAAGTATTATCGTCAGACCTTACTGTTCAGTGCTCTTCAAGATCCCCAGATTAACTCTATCTTTAATAAACATTGCTTCAATTACCGAGGGCAGGTGAGTTCACAAACCAGCTGATAACAGCCTGAGACCTATGAAGAAGATGCTAAGTTAATCTTCAGCCTGGGAAGAGTAGCAGTAGACACTTTTTATTGTTTGCACAGGTGCTAATAGTTTATGTAGCCTGTATACTTCAATTTTAAATTCATGTCATTGTGCACCATTTTCTAATGGCTCCCTGTTTGTTGACTGAAGGAACCGGTCTGTCCCTTGCAGTTTTTGATTTTACCTGTTAATTAAAGGGACATCTGATGGGACAAAGTTTTTGTAAAGCTTGTAATCAAGTAACTTTTTTGTTTGGTTTTGCATTGATTTCAGTTTTATTCACTTGAGTGGAATTTTGGTTTGCAAAATATACTTTTTCCTCTCTTGTTTGTAACCTGAACACTGCAGTGTTGGATTAATCCATGGGTATGACAAAATGAAAGGTCTACTTTTGCTGTTCAACATAAGGAAAGGCATAAAATAAGCAGTTATTTCTGCTGTCATATCAACCTAGAAGTCATGTCACATAGTTACCAGATGTGGCCTGGGCAAATGCAAGCAGTGTTCCAGTAGGACTTTGTCTTGTTCCAAACAGCCTTATTGGTTGTCTATAGATGTGAGTCACTAACTGAAAATTTGACTTGGAATGTGAATGCTTTTTCAAGTACACAGTGTTTTTGTTTCATTACTCCCCTAACCGTCCTGACTTCCTCTTGCAGGTAGCTGTAAGGAATGTACCCATGACTGGCTCTATTAACCATGTTGTGGTACAGCTTCCTCATGTTTTCCGGAGGCTGGAATCTGATAGCCTAATTTCCATAATAGACGCAAGGTAACTTGTCATTGTGACCTTTTTGCTGTGTCCCCATGCTTGCAGTTTCAAATGTGGTGCTTGGTTAGCGGACTCTCTTTAAGAAACAGTTGGATGCCTATTTTGCTGGGATCCTTTGACCCTAGCTGACTTCCTGCCCCTTGGGCAGGGGGCAGGACTCCATGATCTTCCAAGGTCCCTTTCAGCCCTAAGATCTGTGAATGTAGCAGATTGTCTAGAACGCAGAGTCTATATGCTTTTTTTTAAGTGAGGGGGGAAAAACCCAAAAATAAGTGTGCTCTTGTTGCTCCTCTGATGCAGTTAAATGCTGCATATTCTAGCCCTGGTTTCTTCCTTTTTGCTGAGTCCTCACTTCCCCTTTTAAAAGAGAGAAAATGATGCTGTGGTGAAGGTAGTATGATGGTATTGTTTCACTACCATAGCTGTGAATTTAAACTTCTTCAAACTGGCTTAAGATTTCCAGGGTTGAAGACTTTCTTGACTGTGTCCTAAAATAATAGAGGTTTTGTTTGATCAAAACCTTTTTATTCTCCAGATCATTTATATGATGAAAGGCTGAACATTTACTTGATAAGACAGATTTGCATTTTCCTACTTCAGGTTCCAGTTCTTTATTGACAAAGTGCTGCCTGAGTACCGTGACGCAGTCATGTCCCATACTCTTATTTATGTTCCATCGTATTTTGACTATGTTCGTCTTCGCAACTACTTCAAGAAGGAAGAGCTGAATTTTACGTACACCTGTGAATACACCAAAAAATCTAGCATCTCCAGAGCAAGACAGTTCTTCCTCAAGGGAGAGAGGCAGTTCTTACTTTTTACTGAGCGCTTTCACTTTTACAAAAGGTAAGCCCTGGGCCATATTTTGATCCAACTTGTATGCACATACAGTTCTGGGGCAGAGCCTGGCCCAGAGTGAATTCTCTAGTCTCAGACTTGCACTCACTGATGACTTTTGCTGTTTCATCTGTCTGTCAAATCTGTTTGGTGTTTTTTCAGCTTGATGTAGGAAATGTCTGAAATGCTAACCTTAAAAAATTACAGATATCCCCTTGAAGAATTAATGATGCCTTCAGGCTTGTAGTTTTCCAGCACTCTTGATTCCCAATGAAGTCAGAAGGAATGCAGCACTATGCAGTACATACCTAGCTATATATAATATAGTACCTTTTGCCACAGTTGGCATCTGTGTCAGGATAATTTCTTTTGCCTCTGGAAAGGAACAAAGGACTTGTTCCAAGACAGAAGCACAATCAGAGCATTTTCAGAAAGACCAGAAGAGGAATTCTTCTTGAAACTTCTTGTGGAATGTAGTTTGGAAGCACAAAATTACTGAAGTAGGATTCTAGTTAGGATTTCAAGGTTTATGGGATCTTTTACAGAGCACCAGTGACCAGGGTCTGTTTAAATCAGATTTAAAGATGGCAGCTGTGGATGCAGCTGGAAGCATTGCCTCAAGAAGAGTGTGCTATGCAAATGGGCAAACAATTTTTGTATATGTATGCATATTCATATGTATGAATGTTGAATGTGCCCACGAGAAACTAAAGCTACTTTTTGCTGAATCTGCTGATGGTAATCAATGCACAGTTTTACTTTATGTTCATAATATAGCCTGTACTTGCCAACCTAGCAATACCTTCCCACACTTGTGGCTGGGGTCATTAATTTTTCAATGCCCTTGGACAAACATAACGATATATTTATTCTGTTCCATGAGTAGATCTGTATATATGAATGTATCATATTTATTTATTTCACACACCCAATACATTTATGATATGATAAAATGCCAGATCACCTACACAGACAGACAGATATCTTTGTAGGTCATTTGACATTATAAAAATGATATGGAAAACAACTTTCCTGAATGTAAGGTAATCACTTCTATATCATTTGAATTTTATAGTATCCTGAAGCTGTCTCTTCAAGATCATCTTGCTGTTCTAAATTGAACAGCTCCTCTAGCAAGTTTTTTTTTTCAGGATTTTTTTTTCTTTTTCTTTTCTTTTTTTAAGTTGTGTTTCCATACTCTGGACCCTTGCTCATTTTTAAAATGTAACTTTTTCAGTTAAATCGCTATTCAAAGTAAAAATCCAGGACTGGCAATAATGCTTAGCACTTCCTATTGCATTTTAGTGGGCAAAGTGAATACAGTGGAGCTCCCTTACAAAAGTGGCTGAATTCGTCAAGGAGCTTTATAGCCTTTAATGAATTCATTCTCAATTCTTCATTTGGCATGTAAATGAAATGTCAGAAGTTAGAACTTCAGACTTGCTGGCTCCCAAGTCTTGTGCTTGATACTGTAATCCCTGTGGTGACTATTGTAGAATGCAGTGTGCCTAGTCTGACAGCCCATCTAGTCAGTCATTTAAAGGACATTTTTTCTCTTGACCATGATCTGGAGGGGTGTGGGGAGCATTGCAAGTAAGCAAATGTTGGATTTTTAATAAAACCCCCAATATTCTGCCCTGTAAGCAACAAGTGTAGGTAGTTGGAGCTTACCCAGTCCTGACCAGAGTCAGGGGGAAAATGATGGCTTTCTATCAAAAATGCAGTTTTTATCAAAATAGCATAACTTTGGACTGGGTTTTAGATGGAGTTCCAAAAAGTCGATTTGAGTTTGGGAGTTGATGGTGCTGAGCACTTTGCATGATTTAGACTCTCAGTTCTGTTGTCACAACATCCTAGGTTTAAGTGGATGCACTCACTTTCTGAGTTGAGGCATGCAAGAGGCAGAAGGCCATTCTCCCAGTTCCTACAAGTTACAGTGAGAACTCTGAGCTTCACAAAACTAAGCCCCTGATATACTGCTTTACATTCATAGGTGTGTAGATAGCAGATACCCGTCATTGTGACAACACTTTTTTTTTCTTTTAATACAGATATACAATACGAGGGATTAGAAATCTCATTTTCTATGAGCTACCAACATACTCCCATTTCTACAGTGAGATCTGCAATATGATGAAGGCCAACAATGGAGAGGAAGCTACTTGGACATGTACTGTTCTTTATTCAAAGTACGATGTGCAGAAACTGGCTGCTGTTGTGGGTATAGAGCGTGCTGCTCAAATGCTGCAGTCTGACAAAAGTGTGCACCTCTTTGTTACTGGAGAAAATGAGTAAGCAAGCCTATGAACCACGCTGTGTGTATGGACTTGGGTCTTTTTTCCTAACACACTTTTTAATGTTGTTTCTTAATATTAAGTGTTTAATGAATTTTCTCTACCTCCTTCTCCTCCTCAAGTATTTTCCTGGAATTAATTTTAAAGAGTTAATTTGTACATTTAAATATTCTGATTTAAAGCAGTGATGGAAACAAAATAAGTGTATAAGATTTTTTTCCTCCCCACCCCTTTGTTGATGCTGGTGATTCTCAATCAGTGTGCTGAGGCACCCTGGGGTGCCACGAGATCTTTTTGAAGGAAGCCATGAGGTGTGAGGAACTGAGCAGGTGCAGGGAGGTAAGTGCAGACTCGCTGGCTCCTGTTCCACCCCTATTGCCCAGTGTCTCTGAAGAGGTAAGCGCTGTAATACATTTATTTTTTGGTGCTGCTCATTTAACAAAGTCTTACGTGGGGGTATCTTGCATCAAATAAGGTTGAGAGCCACTTGTTTAAGTGAACAAGGTAGATTCCAGATTTGAGTTTGAACTACTTTTCTCCTATGTGTTCTGTCTGCATATTTACTAAATGGTCCTGGTGTGAGAAGTACCTTCTGTCAGATCACTTCACTCCACTCCATTTTTCACATACCCTGTCAGAGAATCTCTACTTTCTTTCAGCGAAGGCAACTTCTATTTGCTTGTTTTGCAGGAAGGTAATGAGGGTGCATCCAAAGAAGTTCTACCATGCTTACACTCCATGTTGCCGTCCGTGAAAGGGTGGTATAGGTGAGCCTTTTTGACGAGGAACCACCTATAGCCCAAGCATATTGCTGCATCAGTAGCCTTGAAGAATAGACTGGGTTCTGAGCCCAAGGGTCTGCCTTTTTACACTAAATGGTCCCCACCTTACCCTACCGCAGTCATTCTCAACTAGGGTGCCACAAAGTCCTTTTAATGGTGCTGCACAATTTTAACACAGTTAGTATGCAAATACCTACACATAATTGACATGGTAAACCCAGAGACTGCAAGTAGGAATCCATAATGTCCAAAACATTCTGACCTGTTGAGATCTTTGGAAATGTCCTTGTTGAGTAGCCTTATAGAAACAAAGTCCCTAGAGCTGTTTGCTTTCTTCTGGGACTAGACACTAACTGCTTCTGGCTTATGGACCTCTTCTCTTTAGCCCAGGAGGTTGAAGTTCTCTCTTTCCTTTTCAAAAACTGACACAGCAAATCTCTGTTCAGTGTCATTTCTCCCTTCCCTCCTGTTTTCCAGACTTGACATGGATGAATTCTTGTTGGGCGCATGAGAGCATCTGGGGTTAAGTATTCTCTCCGCCAGCTATAGCCATCACTGGTGAATAGTTGACCTCCAAGGAAGCTAAAGTGGGGGATCTATTTAGGAAGAGAAAAGGATGTAATATTGCTGCTCTACTTGCTATACTTTAAAGCAGCAGAAAGGTTATTGGCCAGAATCTTAACCTGAAGGGCTTTCTCCTGTTCCCAGTGACTAGGATGAAAGTAGAATCAAATTGTGTGGGGTTTTTTTTGTTTGTCTGTTTGTTTTTGTTTTTAATCAACTATACAAATATCTTCCATGTTATTTCTCCCCTCCACCCTCCTTTTTTCCCTTTATTGTAAGGAAAACCCTCTGAAGAAGTAAGTCCTCTTAGCCAAATTGCAAATGAATGAGAGAAGCATACGTGCATGTGTGACACTTTTAGAGATGATTTGTTGATGATAAATATTAATTAATTGGTTGTTAATGTAGTGATACATTCTGGATCCTTGCATTGCCAAAGTGAAACCCCTGAATCCATTACAAGCCTGATATACTGTCAGCTGTAAAAAGCACATGAAGTGGGATTTATAGCACTCACTTGCTCCAGCTGAAGCTGATGTTAGAATTTTGGTGTACTTTGGTGGGAGATAAAGTAGGTCAATACAAAGTGCACTAGAAAATACTACTCTTAAACTAGATTTAACGCTGCATGTGGCTCTTTAAAGCCTTGTGTCTGTTGGAGTAAGTGGCACCTTACCCATTAAAATCAGCATTTCTGTGTTGCAGTGAGTGTCAGCCCGCATATACTTGAAGGGGAAGGGGCGTGTTCTGCTTTCAGCAGGTTTGATGCAAACTTGCTGACTGTAAGCACTGCATCAATGACTTATCTCTGTGATTATCAGTGATTCCCCTCCCTGGCCCCTGAAACATTTTTAGTTGCATGGAGCTTTAATAGGAGCACTAAGGAGACCAAGTTACCACTGTATGAGTTTGGCCCTTCTTGTATTAGGGAAGTTGCTCAGACTATGACCAGTAATTTAAAAGTCTTTGCTAGGAAGAGGTAACCTCTAAAAGCAGGTCAATTCTTGATCTCAGCCACCCTCGTGTAACTCTGCCATGACTACGTTTAAAATCTGGCTGCATGTTGCATCTGGTTTTCTGCATGGTTTTTCTTTCTCGGCACTAGTTACTGAAGTTGAAATGACCCTAAGGTACCTGACGTATAAATGGAATCTAACCCCATGATAATAACTGGCATTTTATTTTCAAAATGGTTTAAAGACTTAATTGCACATTATTGTGGCACAGAAGGACATTCACCTATCAAGCAGTTCAGTAAATGCACAGCTGTTGTGTAACTTCTCATCTTGAGCCAGAAACAAATTGTGTCCATTGGCTCCTGAGCTACCATTTCAAGGCCCTGATGCTGGCTTAAAATATTCTGTGTTTATAAGTACCTTAGGACCTTCTCTGTACTGGGGAGATGAATTTGACAGTACTTGCATTTAAAAAAAAAGACTTCTGACCTGAGAGAGTGAGCTGTCTTACCAGGCACTAAGATTTCCTGACGCCAGCTGCCAGTGTAGTAGTGCTGAAGGTCTGCATTAGTGGTTAGCCTGGGGAATTCCAGTTAAAGGTTAAAAATAAACACAGATAAGGAGTTCTTCTTTGAGATCTTTGTAGTGACTCTTCTAGCATTTGAGAAGTCCAAATAATTGATCACTGGTGGAAGTTATAGTTGTGTGTGCATGTGAACATTGTTCCTTTCACTAATGAGCTCTGTTGCAATGTATCTCGCATCATTATATATAAATATAACTAAAACCAGGATAATAGGTTTGTCAAGCCTTGCTGCAGGATGCGAGGCCATACTTCAGGTGGCTAAGGAGCTGCCGGGGCCGTAGAGCTGGGGAAACTGAACTTGGAGCAGAAACGATTAGGATATTGTAATCCATGTGAGAGAGAACTATAGCAGCCTTGTTAACAAAAGTGGAATCAACAATTCTTTCAGAGTCATGCAGACTGTATTAGTTATGCTGTCTTGGCTTTAAACTTAAAACCTCATAGAAGTAAACTCTTTAGACCTGGTTGCCAAGCATTCC